AAAGGAAATGAAAACCACAAAGAAATCATATTTTCCACTTGTCAGGTTAGCATTGTCCTGAGGTCTGACAGTCCAGCTCACCCCGCATCCTTCTCACACATGGTGGTAAGAGAGCCCAAGGGGCTCTGCATGGGTGGGGAGATGGCCTTGCTATCAAACTCAGCCTTGCCTACATTCAGAATGACAGAAAAGTCCATTTTGTAGCAGCAAACTAAAGGAAATATACCAGAGATCTTTTGTAGGGAGCTAGTGAAATACATTTTCTATTTACCAGTGAAACACCTTGTGGCTTTCCCAATGCTGCTGTACACTGACATTAAAAGAGCTCTCAGATTTATAAATGAAAAAAGAAGCCCACTCAATGTATATTGTATGCCAGCTTTGTGTGGAAAATGGAAATAGAAGATATGTACACATACACACATGTACATATATATTTATGTATGCACATCTATTTTTTCAGAAATTAGTGTTTGATTTTTCAACCATGTGATTGCATTTTCTAACAATTTGAATACATTTTCCTTATGTGTATTATATTTCAATACCATTTCCCATTTTATATAAGAATTCATATTTTTGGATGATGGATTTATCTTGTGACAGCCTTTATTTTATTAATCTGTTACTGGGAATTTGGAATAATTTGGGGCAATTCAACGTTGTGCTATACTGAGTGAACATCTTTTCATGTACATTTCAATGTACACATTTTGTTTCTGAGTGAGCTGATGGTTCAGATGCCGAGAGCCCTGTCCAGGTAGAGGGTGTCCCAATGCCTGGCCAGTGTACTCTGTCTATGATGGGTCCCCATGACTTGCCATCTGATGTGATAGCCATGCTAAAGGTTGTCCATCAGAATTAATGTGCTCTGGTTGTGCATCAGAATTAATGAAATGGTTTCTTTTTAATCCCTAGAGTTGGCCTGTGATAAACTCTATGTATTGGTGGTTCTCAGTGGCTCCCAATAGGAGAGAAAGAGACACTGGTAGAATAGATTGAACAGCAGGTCCGAAATTAGATAGAACTTGAATCGTGTAGACTCTGGAATTTTCACATTGAACATATTGACAATGTGACTGACTGACTATTTGTCATTGGGTGTATTCACCACTAGGACTCACACTGTGTTCAGCATTGGCCAGTTGAACATTTGGGCTGACTCAGTGATTCACATGATGTTCCTGACACCTAGCTGTTATAGTGCCATGAACATATGTCTGTAATGTGCAGAGTGAGCATCAGAAAGGACAAAAACTGCCTTGCAGAAATCCCAATGCTCATAAGTGGTAGGTACAGTGGACCCTTGAGTTACAACCGGCCTGACATACAAACAACTTGGCTTATGACCAGAATTTTAGTTTTAACTTACTACCAAAGTCTTGAGTTACATCTTGAATGGTGGCCATTCATGCTTCCAGATGGTCTGAGATACAGATTTAACCCTTAAAGAATTCTGGAAGGGACATTATAACATCTTTTCCTATGTGGGGTTGAGAAATCCTGGGCCATTGTCTCTCTAAGGACACAGATCTGCCTGGAAGAAAGTGTGGCCTAAAATTATACAGAAAAGGCTTTGAAGGCAATTGACCAACTTGAGTTACAACCAGCCCTTGAAAACAAATTGAGTTCGTACGTCGTGTCCACTGTATTTGTTATTCAAACAAAACAAAGGGCAAACAAATACACAGCCTAACAGAATATGATAGAAACCAGGACTTCAATCACATAAACTTTTATAGCGCATGAAAATGCTGAGTTTCTAGACTTTTGGGTGAATAATAACATCTCTTTTTCTTCAGGCTTTATCTTATTACTCAGACTTGCCAGTAAGTAATTATATAGAACTTTGATGAATAAAATTGAGTAAGTCAATTATTATGAACTGTAGCCCACTCAATAATCAAAAATCTTAAAAAATGAAATCTGCTATGAAAAGAATTCCAAAGGATGAAGGAAATGCATAATGGGGAAAATTATGAGAATTGCTACCCCAAAATTTTGATGTTCTTTAATAATTGAGAACTAAGATTTTCTTTAATAGTTTTTTTCCTCACAGCTGAGAAGGAGATGATGTCCTCTAGTTGCATAATAATCAGAGACATGAGTGTCTTCCTGTGGAATTGGATGAAAATTTGCAGGATTCTCCCATAGAATACCTGCCATAGATTTGAGTCATAGAAATTCTTTTGGGCAGCAGGAGGTCAGTGGGTAAAAGGCTTCCCAACAAGAAACCTTAAGCATCAGGTTGGCTTAATTGTCTGTAATTGAAGAGCACAGGAGCCAGGAGAAGGAAATATGGGCAGGTAAGGGGGCTTTTCTTTTCACCAGTTCTGTGTTTAATGAGGAAGGAGATTTTCCTGAAGAGTAACAGGTTTCCAGTCTAGGATCAAATAGTGCAGAAGGTAAAAGCAGAGCCTCTGAAGCCAAAATACTTGGGTTCAAATCCCAGCACCGTTGCTTATGAGCTATGTAGCTATGGGAAGTTTCCTTTGACCTCTCTGCCTCAGTTTTCTCTGCCTCAGTTTCCCCTTTTGTAGAACAGAAACAATTAAAAATACCATCGGTGCTTCTGACAAATGAAGTAACCCATACTTGAACAAGTAGCTAGCTCATAGTAAGCAGTGTACAACTAACTGCAGTTACTATGTCACTACGGTGACAATCACTTTGCATAGTAATCTGAAGTTAGCTTAGACATTGTCTTCTAAAAATAGATACGTTTCAGAAATGTGAGAATAAACTACAGAGAACAATAATCTGCCATACATTTCAAAAAGCCAGAAAAAGGGATTTGAAGTGTTTTCAGACAAGGAATAAATATTTAAGGTGACAGGCATCCTCAACCTAATTTAAACATCACACAATGTATACAAGCATCAAATACCCTATCAATTTCATAAAAATGTACAACTTTTACATGCCACTTAAAAACAAAAGTATGTAAATGGTATTGCTAATAACAGACAGACCAAGTAGCTAGGGCTTTATTTGGGTTTAACGTGTGGCTCCTGGTCCTGGGTCTTCCCTCCATACCATGTGGCTTCCCTGCATGGAGCAACTGTGCTATGGTGGGAAAGTCCTGGACCAAGAAGAATGCATAACTCATCTGCTGCCTGAGAAATGCACCTGATCATTCCAGAATGCCCCATAAGGTGATCTGATGACCTCCAGGCTCATTCGGTCTATGGGAGCAGCTGGGTGTCAGAACAATATGGCTATCCAGGAAGCAGCATTATCCATCCTGCTAGGCCTGGGCTCATTGTGAACTTCATCATTGTCCTCCCCAAAATAACAGTTGTTAGCAATTACACACACTCCCAAAGGAATTATTTATGGACTATTTATGAAAAGGGGAGCAATTACAGGGATTCCAGGGCAGGTCAGAGTCTTATCCAAAGAAGGACAAATGGGAAATTAGTGACAAATGACTGACAAATGAGTAACCATGTGTGTACATGTGGAGAAAACACAAATGTACTGAAGAGTTCTTAAGAAATTTCTCTCTGAATCATGAGAGGATGCCTTTAGTAAAGAAGCAATGCAAGTTTTGATTGTGTTTTTGTTTTCCCTGTTGAAAGTACTGAAAGTGTATATATA